GAGCTAGGAGAACAACTTAAACGGAACGCTTCCATCGCTATTGTAGCGTGTTCCGTTCCAATAAAAAATTATATGTGTAACTTTTTAACACATGACATTGTATTATTGAAAAAGAATGTCACGCGACGATAAACTCGTTCTATGTAAGTCATTCTCTTGAACTAAACACGTGAACATGTTCTCATGAACCGGTCGAGATAAAGACAAAAACATAATTGGCATCGTGAGTTAGCTAAAGATAGTATTGGAAATGACATAAAGGTCGTATGCAACGCATCTTGGCTTAAAGTTTAAGTTTCTAATCTTCACTTCCAAAGGTGTTTTAGATGTAGAAAAAGCAGATCCATGTTTATACGTTCCTACCAAATACAGTGATTGCAACGTTATTGGCAATATTGCTACATAATCACACCCTAATGGTATAGATTAAACGATATTTTTAAAGATTAAAGTTTTACAACCACAACTTTGATGAGGGTTTTACTTCTAAAATTGCTAACCACCACTATAACAAGCATATAATAATGATGATAACAATGCAGTTTCATAAAGAATAAGAATGATCGAACGGAAAAAAGCCGTAAATCACATTCATTTTATATTTTTATTTTTGACAAGGCGATATTTATTGTAAATTATTTTAATTTATGCGATAAGAATTCAAATTTGGATGCAAAGAGTTGGCGCACTATTTTGACTTGCCACAACGTCATAATATGCAGATTCTCACGCATTACACACCCATTCGCCACTTTGTTCTCAATTGTCCCCTCTCCTGAGCAAAAAAAGAGGGTTAGGTGCTAAGTTGCTCAAGTCAGAAAAGAAGCTGCAAATACAATTATGACGATGGTTAACAGGATACTAAAGAGTTGAAAGTAGCTAAATCACATTACATGTATTACGACTACATGTCCAGCAAGATACATAGAGGATCGTCGTTGTAATTGCAGCTTGTTCAAAAAATAATTATCACATGCACACAAGAAGGTTTTAATCTTGAATAGGGAATGTCATTACTTTTTTTTTTTTGAAAACATAGAATGTCATTACTTATATGGTCACGCTTAAAATTTTGATAAAAAGTTAATAACTAATTATAAGTTTTCCGATCAAGTAATGAGCATTTTCAAAGAAGATATCAAAATCCTTTAATTTTAATTAAAAATATTGAGAAGTTTTACACTTTACATGATATGCCAAATTTAATTGTAATCTATTTATGATTTCACAAGATCAGTTACCTTCTGTTGAGAGTTTGACATGTTCTACTAACCTGAAAGCATAAAGTGTACTTAATTTGTAATCAGCATGTGAAGATAATAAATCACTCATCCGCTTATCTCATTTATCCCGCAATTAATCACCTTAACACGCTGCTCAGTTACAAGTCCTGAACGATTAAAATTGATTTGTGCATATTTCAAAAAAAATAAAATAAATAAATTTGGAGGAAGGAAAAAACAATGAACCCGCCCATCCAAGATCCAATCTAACTTTGCTTCCGCAGTGGGCTGGGGCCCACCATATTAGCGCGTAGAGAATATAATTCTCATCGCCGTTCCCACCGTTTATTCCGAAGAAAGCAAAGTAGTTAGTTCCGTCAACCCTCCGAGCCTGTTCGGTCTATTGGCAGCAGCATAATATTAAGCGAAAGGGGACGCCGAAATTCTGCTTCTCTCTTGCGCACCACAGCCGCTCAGCATCCGTTTCGGTTCCGGACCTGTCACGGTTCGTTCTCAATTTCTCAAAATTTTCATGGATCTGTTGTATTTTTGAAACGCATGATTTCAATTTACTTTGTAATTCCAAGTTTTGGATCTGGGCATGCTTTTTGTTATCGTTTTGCTAATTGGATGATTGAGTGAGTATTTGAATGTTTATGCGCTGTTAATTAGTGGATCTGATGCGGTTGAAGTATAGAAATTGAACAATTAACAAGTTCTTGATCAAATTTGTTAACCCGAATGCCTAATTTTGTATTTTTTGTTAAATTTTCAGTCTTTGTGTTATTTTGGCTAATATTAGTATGTTTTCTGTTTGAAATTTGTGTAGATTAATTGGTGGATGCAACTGTAAGAGCTAGCTTAGATCCACTGCTCACTCCAACTTGTGGTGAGTGTTGTTTTCTTTTCGATTCCGATGGCGACATCGATTCCGGGAATGCCCTCAATCAAATGGGCTCTGCTTGTTTTGATTGTATTTGTGCACACCTGTAATGGGTTTTATCTCCCCGGAAGCTACATGCATACATATTCGAAAGGGCAACAAATCATTACCAAAGTTAACTCCTTGACTTCTATAGAGACTGAGCTGCCCTTCAGCTACTACAGTCTCCCTTATTGCAAACCCCCTGAAGGTATCAAGAAAAGCGCTGAGAATCTCGGGGAACTCCTTATGGGAGATGAGATCGAAACCTCTGCGTACCGCTTCAATATGACTGTGAATGAGACTCTTTACCTGTGTACCACACCCGCCTTGACTGAGCACGACGTAAAGCTGCTAAAACAGAGGACCCGTGATCTGTATCAGGTCAATATGATCCTTGATAATTTGCCTGCGATGAGGTATGCTTATCAAAATGGGGTTAAGATTCAGTGGACTGGGTTTCCTGTTGGGTACACACCACCCAACGGTAAAGAAGATTACATCATCAATCACCTCAAGTTCACTGTTTTGATTCATGAGTATGAAGGGAGTGGTGTTCAGATAATCGGGACTGGGGAAGAAGGCATGGGTGTCATTTCAGAAGCTGATAAGAAGAAGGCATCTGGGTTTGAGATTGTTGGCTTTGAGGTTTCCCCTTGCAGCATTAAATATGACCCAGAGGCCATGAAGAAAAAAGCCATGTATGAAAAAATCCAACCTGTAAATTGTCCCTCAGAGGTTGAAAAGTCTCAAATAATAAGGGAGCAAGAGAAAGTATCATTTACTTATGAGGTTGAGTTTGTGAAAAGTGATATAAGATGGCCATCAAGGTGGGATGCTTATTTGAAGATGGAGGGTGCCCGTGTGCACTGGTTCTCTATCCTGAATTCATTAATGGTGATCCTTTTCCTCGCTGGTATAGTCTTTGTCATATTCCTAAGGACTGTGAGGAGGGATTTAACAAGATACGAAGAACTGGACAAAGAATCTCAAGCTCAAATGAATGAAGAGCTCTCTGGGTGGAAGCTTGTTGTGGGAGATGTGTTCAGAGAACCAGATTCTCCCAAGCTTCTTTGCGTGATGGTTGGAGATGGGGTTCAGATTACAGGGATGGCAGTTGTCACAATCATCTTTGCAGCATTTGGTTTCATGTCACCAGCTTCACGAGGAATGCTACTGACCGGAATGATTATTCTATATCTTTTCCTTGGGATTATTGCTGGTTATGTTGCTGTCCGTATGTGGAGAACCATAAAGGGAACTTCCGAAGGGTGGAGATCGGTTTCCTGGTTTGTGGCGTGCTTCTTTCCTGGAATCGTCTTTGTTATTCTTACAATACTGAATTTCATTCTATGGGGCAGCAAGAGTACTGGTGCCCTTCCCATTTCTTTGTATTTTATACTGATCTCCCTCTGGTTCTGCATTTCCGTGCCTCTCACCCTTCTTGGAGGATTCTTAGGCACACGAGCTGAGCCAATTTCATATCCTGTAAGAACCAACCAGATTCCAAGGGAGATTCCTGCGCGCAAATATCCATCATGGCTTCTTGTTCTTGGTGCTGGGACACTTCCGTTTGGAACCCTTTTCATTGAACTCTTCTTCATCCTTTCTAGCATCTGGCTTGGAAGGTTTTATTATGTCTTCGGTTTCCTTTTTATAGTGCTTACGTTGTTGGTTATTGTTTGTGCTGAAGTTTCAGTAGTTCTCACATACATGCATCTTTGTGTGGAGGATTGGAGGTGGTGGTGGAAGGCTTTCTTTGCCTCAGGTTCAGTTTCCTTTTACGTGTTCCTGTACTCCATCAATTACCTGGTATTTGACCTGCAGAGTTTGAGTGGGCCTGTGTCGGCTATCCTTTACCTCGGTTATTCATTGATCATGGCAACTGCAATCATGTTGTCAACTGGCACCATTGGCTTTCTCATGTCTTTCTACTTTGTTCATTACCTCTTCTCATCCGTAAAGATCGACTAGAAAAGTGTTGGCTGGCATTGTTATCAAACAGTTGGGAAATGTGAGTCTGCTATATGTTCGGAAGGAAGTATTTCTGGTTATATCATTTTGGCCTTTACACTTGGTTGCATCTGAAAGTTGACGGTGGTGCGGTATCTGAAGCAGCTCTCTGGTGATAGCGCATGAAGTCCTTTGTTTTCTGTGTACTGCCCTCGTTTGCGACATCACCGGCGGCAGATTCTCCCTTTACCCGTCTATCCCATTTCGTTTTACTGCTTCACTAGCGTTGCGCTTTTACTTTAGTTTAATCACATTGTGTTAGAAAGTTGTAGCTCGGGGACCTTCAATCCTTGTATTCTCTTTTATTTCATATTTGGAATGGAAAGCTAAATTGGATAATTCTTTTAATTCTCAACAGATTGATTTTTTGCTGTTAATTTCCCAATTTGATTTACCGGGTTAAGTTCAGTTCAACCGTTAAATTTGTTTAATAAGTTGAAAGCTTAGGGGCATTTGATATCCGTTTCGGGGCGATTGATGTCATTTCGTTTTCAAGTTTTTGAAAAATAAAATGAAAGCTACAATTGTTTGAAAAATAAAATGAAAGCTACTTCTGCGAGTTTTCAAAATTTAACTTGGTTTTGGTTTTGGTTTGAAAACGAAAAACAATTACCAAACATGTTTCAGTTTAGTTTTCTCGAAAACGAAATAAGTTATCAAACGGACGCTCTGATTACTCGTACTGCCTACTGCTTTACTGTTTGGTAAGCGAAACTTGCGACATAAGCAAACGGACGCTGTCAAAGTTTTACACCAAAAGGCAAAGGGTAAAATATTAACTTACGAAACTCCATAAGGAAACAACACAAGGGTGATTTTGTTCTTTCATCCAGAGTGCCCTATCACTCCATATCTGGATCCGGGTCGATCAGGTAAGCTTCCGCAGGGTCATCGTCCAAGCTCTGCTCCGTTTTCTCGTCATCTTCAGTATGAGTTTGGAAATTTTCGACAGATGAATTCTCCGAATGCCCGTGAGAGGTCGAGTGGCCCTCAAGGCTAGGCTGCATGCTGTTTCCCAGAGCCATCTGATATGCCGGGTATAGTTCCATTGTTCCTAAACCTGAAACGCCGTTTAGCATGCCCTTGGCAATTGCACCACCAAAAAATTGCTCAGTAAGCTTCTTATGCGCGTTCTCCATAGCAAAATTCATGTATCTCTGCTCAGCATCCTGCCACAATTGCAATTGCCTCCCAGCCTGCAAAGTTGTGGTGTGCATTAAGAATACAGAAGAAGGTTTACATATATCACCTTAGGTTCCCAAATCAGTTTCCGTAACTTGAAAACTTGCCTCAATTTGCATTCTAATTCTTTCTTCATCGGCAGCTGCCTTTACCAGTTCATCAGAGGGCCTATACATGGAGCCACAACCCAAAACATAAAACATCACAGCATTTACAAGATAATGCACTTGAAAATGGAACTAGGGTAATGATTTTCCGCACTCTCATTTTCTATTTCGGCACTTGTCTTCTCGTTTCCAGCCTTCGATTTAATAAATCGAGGGAGAATCAACAGACAAAGTTGCATAATGAGGAACTAAGAGTGCGAAAATAACTACCTTTCCGAATAAGTTAACAAGTGCATTCGAATGGAAGATAGAGGAGCAGAGCAAATCATACATTGTCGCGGTCTGCGGGAGTTGCAAGGGAGTACGGCTAGTGCTTAGGCCTTCTTCCAAGTCCTGTGAAACTGAGGTCTCTTTCGCTTAGTGGCAGTGAAAATCTAAATGCAGCAACTCAAACATGAAACATCTTTCACAACGCACAAGTTATTTTCACTTAGGGCCGGTCATAAGATTTTTGAGGACCGAGGCCACGTCAAAAAATATGCCTCAACTTCATATAATAAAAATGATTTGTTTTCACACGTGAGGCTTCGATAAAAGTATAATTTGAAAAACACTTCAAACTCAATAATTTAGAGACATAGAAAAACTAATTTATTTTGTATTCAGAGAAAGGAATAAAAAAAACTCTGAGCTTACAAGTAGATAGCTGTTGAGTTTGTTTCTCTAATATCTAAGCTTTTAAAGTACATTTATAAAGCCGTGAGGTGTTTTTTCTTATTTACTAACTTTTCAATATGAGGCTAAAAAAATAATAATATTTTCGAGTCTTTAATTGACATGTATAAGCAATGAATGGACACTAAATTAAAACCTTGGTAACACCTTATATGATTTGCAAATTTGGTATGCACATTACTCTTTGTTGAAGGTTAGACTTGAATTGAAATTAATGTTTAAAATTTGCAACCCACATAAATATTAGCTAGTAATTAAAAACAAATTAACAACTAAAAATAAATTCGAAAAAATTGGAAAGAAAAAACATGGATATAGGTATAGCATTTCAAACTCTTGACCTCCCGATAATATTAAACAAAAAAAAACAATTGTTTATGATAAAACTTCTTGGTTATTTAACCAAATTTTATAAATTTTATTATGAAAAGAAATTTGTACAAATGGGAAAGGTGTTTGAATCACGACACCCTCATTAATTTTAAACAACATAAACCATCACTTCTGGTTAACCATAGTGTTTTGAACCCAAGATCTCCTTATTAATTTTAAACAACAAAAACTATTAGTTCTAACTGAACTTCTTTATCATTTAACCAAAGTTTATAAATTTATACTATTACAAAAACATATATAAATATACCATCCTAATAATTTTGATGTCCCCAATTTTTTGAGCCTTGAACGATCACCCAGCCCGCACTAGACTTGGCCGGCCTTGTTTTCACTATATCAACTGTTTAGTTAAGGATAAGTTTTTAGGAAGAACATACAGATTCGTGTCCCCTCCGTCCATTCCTTCCCTGAGTACCTTCCAAGTCTGTATTTCTGCAAAAATGATTACCACATCAATCACTTGTAACAGTGAAATTTAAAAACTTCTCTAGTACATTAGCACTTAACATTAGAATTCCAGTAATTATACGCAAACAAAATTGGTTACAAACTTTTACATACGAAGGATACTAACAGAACCGTCTCAAAGCAAACTGATGTCAAAGACAAAAATGCAATGATACCTTCCTAATTTATACCTTAATATGATTTTCTTTTATTTAAAAAAAAATTAGTGAAATTAGAAAACTTTCCAAGCTAATCTACCAACCATCCTTAAACACTATGAATTTAAAGCACATCAGATTATTTAGAAGAATAAGGAAAATTTGTGGGTTTTCCTTCTCAATGCGATAAATGAGAAAACTTATGAAGCATGGTTTAAAGTGAGGCCGAATGCACGTGTTTTATTCGTATTGCCTCAGAGCCGGATTTGGACACTAATAAGACCTCAGTAAAGAGAAAATTTTCCTTTGTGTCGTAACACAAGTGGTACATATAACCGGTTCTGTTTGTGCATATTTTCAGAGAATTTTTCCGCAAGCATCAATGAATCATGCATGGATCAGACAGACCTGGAGGTGGCTCTTCACTTGGAAAAGAGTTATTCCCTGGATACCCATTGCCTGCTGAACTTTCTTCGGAGTTGACTCTGCAAAATGTAACGCGTGACACAATCAGAAACCGAAATCCGAAAACAAGCGAAAAATCTCAAGGCCAAGGAAGAAGGAGAAGGGTTACTCACTGTGAGGGCCTCCAAGCTGATTGACAGCATCAACAAAGCGGGTATGAAGCTCAGGAGTCCATTGAAGTCGGGGTCTGAGCTTTGCTTTAAGAACACAGTCTTGAGGCAGCTGAAGATAACGAGTTTCACGATCAACCTGCTCGACCACCGCCGCCTCCCCACCCTCGAGAACAACTCTGTCATCGCTACGAGTGACGATAGGAGTCGGAAAAGATCCTTGAAAATCCTGTTCATCACCACCACTACAACCAAAACCAACCATTTTTCCCTTCTTCTTTTCAGAAGAGAGAAAGCAAAGCACAAGTAATTGCAGAAACGCAACTAGATAAACGCAAGGGGCATAAAAAGGCTAGCTCTTTCTGTGGTGGTGTATAGCTTGCTAGCACAGAATTGGAGGTTACATGAGGAAGGCACAGAAGAGGCCAAGGCCAGCAGGTTTGTCTTTAATTTCTACTGCATGAAGGGAAACGTGGAAAGCTATGCCATTGCTCCAGTCTTTTAATTTTAATTTTTTTTTAATTTTTATTGCAAGCGATATTACCATTCTAATCGGGAAAACTTTGAACTCGGAACACAGTGAGTTGAAAAAAGGATCCTATCCACAAGTTGCTTCATTAATCCAGTTAGTTTCATGTGAATTAATTGTCCTTGCCATCTTTTTCATTACTACTCCCAAGGATTTAATGCCAAACTGCACTTGTAGTGGTACTAAATGAATATGATCTGTCCTTGGTTTGAAAGGCATGTCTTGCTTTGTTTGGTCATTTAAGAAGAAAATACCTGACTCTTACATGTAACAGGACACTTTTCTTTTCTCGTTACATATAAATCGCAATCTGATATGCGTGGAAAATGATTTATACACACTTATTATCACATTCCACACACTATTATTTGTTTCTATCTTTTGATTCTCTTTTAATCTTATTTAATCTAAAAGAGTTTAAAAATCACTTCTCCTTCATTATGTTTCAATTTGCGATTTGCGTGTAAAGAAAAATAACTCCTTAACAAAAGAAGCCAAACATTGTTTTAGTTTTCACTTAACGTTTTTCTTTGACCCAATGCGGCTTGGACGATTCACATCTCAAGGGCAAGCGCTGATGACACGTTGAGCTATCCATGTGGCTGAAAGACCTCTTAGGTAAGGAATAACCATAAAATTATCTACTTGACCAGTAAGTTAATAGCCTGTCAGAGGAATCCGCTATGCCAAATGTGGGAGCAACTCATTACTCCATTACCTTTTTTACATAACGACACAATTATCTAGGAGATGCTTGACTAATAAGCTAATAGTTTGTCGGAGGGTCTCGCTATGCCAAATGCGGTAGCAACTCATTGATACCTTTCCTTTCTAACGTAATGATGCAATTGTCTGGACACTCGACCAATAAGCTAATAGCATGTCAGAGGCGTCTGTTATGCCAAATGTTGGAGCAACTCATTGCTCTCTTTCCTTTTTTACATAACGACTGTCATGCCCTGATCCCGACATACATCCAGGAGTGACACGTGATGTCACCAAATACTCGTATCTCAAACATACCCTGCCATCGGGATATGGCAAAACACAGTTCAAGAATCGATTCGCATAGTAATTTTTCGTAGATTTTATGGCTGCATCTAACATCCTCATTACACTGCCTACATACCCTAAATAGGGATCAAGTCATTCTTAGTTCATTATTTCACTACACTCGAATATTCATCACATAAATTGTTATGTCCCAACAATATACCACAATGCATATCATGCAATATTTCAAAGAACAAATGACGAAGCACAATCATATTCTCTTGCCATATTTATCAACAACTCTAACCATAACAATAACAATGATATCCAACATAACAATCCCACATGACGATTAACATTTCCACTTCATCCATCACATAAATCATCATGTTTCCCACATAAAATCACAATTCATAGCATGTAACATATTAAAGAATTAACAATGCACAATATTATTCTCTAGAAACATTGATCAACTAAAATAATTATAATAACAACACTCATATCCAGCTTCATTCCATAATCCCGTCAAATCAATTCATGAATCAAAGATGCACGATCTTAGCATTAAATTACGTTAATCAAACAATGCGATAACATATTATTTCACGAATTTAACCAAGGAACTTTATATAATTTCCCTGGATAATGAATAATAACATGGTAATTCTAATTTGTATTCACAAGATCTATTGTGGGTAATTCCCATTCACTCGAATATAGGATTCTAAGATAACCTTATGGAAATGAACAAGAGCAAAGATTCTGGACCACTCAACGGAATCCAACAATCTTGGGTTCAGAACCACTCAACGAAACTAAAATACCAAGTTGCTTCTCGTAATCTACCCATACTTGGCATACTGGGTAAATCAGATGCTCGGATAAGCTGCGAAGCTCGAGTGAGTGACAATAATACAAGTATGTGATATTTAATAAAAACAGACCATCGATCACAATCTATAAACATCAAGTATAGAATCATGCTTTATGAAATCATAATCAAGTTGTTGAAAACTCTGAAGGAGTCACCCAGACATCCAACACTTTTTCTAATTCAAACCACAAGATTCCCAAAATCCATCATTCACATGTGCATTAAACACTAGGGCTAGAGGGATGCAGTTCGGCCGAAGCCTATATATGTAACCAAACAGGAAGTGGCCCCTTATCACAGATTAACCAAGCAGAACCACCCATACAGTAACCAAGTATGCAGTGAGCCCTTATCTCGGATTAACCAAACAGAGTCACTCCTACGCATCTGTTAGGTAGTGATCACCTATTGCGGATTAACCAAGCATGATCACCCTTAAGTGTGTGTGTATGGCCATACCAAAGATATAAAGATCGCTTATCGCAGATTAACAAAGCACGATCCATAGGAAATATGGTCCCCTATCGCGGATTAACCAAGTAGGACCAAGATAACTAAGTAGGTAGTGACCCCCTATCACAGATTAACCAAGCAGAGTCACATCTACGACATTGTTAGGCAGTGATCACCTATCGTGAATTAACCAAGCATGATCACTCCTAAGTATGTATAGCCATAAGGATTGCCTATCGCAGATTAACCAAGCACGATCCATAAATAATATGGTCCCCTATCGCAGATTAACCGAGCAGGACCATGGTCCCTTATCACGGATTAACCAAGCATGACCACCCCCTATTGCGGATTAACCAAGTAGGGTCATGGTCTCCTACTAGCCCTCAATTTAACAAACATTTCAATATGCAATTCAAATCACTTTTTTCACAAATATTACCAATCCATGGATCAATCACATTTAATAAAAATTAATCGATGGCCAATTATTAAAGAATCACATTTTAACAAAAAACACATTTATAAAACTAAGTCACATTTTAACAAAAAACACATTTATAAAACCAAGTTATATCCACAAAGGATATTAATATAAAGAATCGGGTAATGACCATATCACATATATTAAAGTCACTCATCGAGATAAGCCGCAAAGCCTCACTGAGCCTCTATTAATACTAATTTTAACTTTATAAACGATTCGAGACATGTTGACCAAAAGTCAACTCTCGATCAATCTGGAAGATCTCCACATCGGATTTCAGATCCATAACCTTCTAAAATATACATTCTTCTTCTAGAACAACATACTAAAATTTCATCGTGATCCGACGGTCGGATCTCTGCCAATTGCTAGAATTAAGTGATAGTTATCAATTAATTTTACTAACTTAGAAATCTAATTTGGGAAGATCCGTACATCAGATTTCCAATCCATAAGTTCTAGCTATCCTCAAATATTACATTCTATAATGTATTAAAGTTTGGTGACGATTCAACGGTGGGATTGTTGATTCATATTTTGATCAAGTAATGTATCGTAATGAAACTTACTTCAAACAATCAAATTACGTCATACAGACATCAGTTATGGAATTAGGGAATCTACTTGAACTTAGGAAGACATCATTGGCCCACTGGCCACGCGCCGTCGTGGGTGGCGGTCGGCCGCCCTGACTCGTTGGAAAACTCAACTATTTAAAAAAATTACCAAATTTTACAGGCAAGTATATCTCAGTGAGCGGAGTAATTTTCATACCTATGGCCAAGTTCAATTTTTCCGGGAAAAAACTCAAATTGCCCACGAACCACCAGAAACCCATGATTTTGGGTGTTCTTGATTCGACTCCAAAACAGCTCCGACGCCCCAACCAATGCATGGGATTTGTTCCTGAGGTTTATGTGAATCTAATGGTGGTGGAGATCAAAGGAAAATGTTTCAAAATTTAGAGGATCGATAGCAAGAACACCTGCACCCATCGATGCGGTTTTTTCCGAGTTTAAAGCTAATTTACTACAATTTTGGGTTGTAATACGTAGAGGGAAGGTCGTAGAACATTTTACATGGAGATAGGTAACGTGGTTCACTGGAAAAACCGACGAAAAACGGCTGGAGAAGATGAAGAGGACCGGTTCGGGTCATGACTGCAAACGAGTCGAGGGATCCCTTGCATCCCCCTTTTTCTCATTTCCCCTCATTTCTTTCTTTTCTGATTCGTCCTCCTCCCCCATCTTTTCCCTCATTTCTCTCATTTCTCTTCTCTCATTTCCATCACAGCCGTCCATCCCTCCCATTTCTTTTCTTTTCCTTTCATCCCAGCCACACACATGGCCTTTCCTTTGCTCCCGAAAATCTGGAGCCTTCTAAATGAGGGCCAATTTACAAAAATGTCCATAACTTCAAACGTTAATAACTCTTTCATTACAACTCCATTTCACGAATGGTTTGCGCCTACGCGTTCTTGAGATCGAGCTCTATTCGAAAATATAAATTGTGACCTCGAACGGTCCAGGAATTTTAAATAATTTATTTTAAAATTTCAAACTTCGTAACTTGCTTAATTAAAATCTAAATTCAAACAAATTAAAATAAATTCTCGAAAAATAATATAAAATCTCAATAATGCAAATACGTAGATTATAATAGTGAAATCTAGGAACGAGATTTCACAATGACACAATTATCTAGGAGATGTTTGACTAATAAGCTAATAAGGGTCTCGCTATGCCAGATGTGGTAGCAACTTGTTGATACCTTTCCTTTTTAATGTAACGATGCAATTGTCTGGGCACTCAACCAATAAGCTAATAGTACGTCGGAGGCATCCGTTATGCTAAATGTTAGAGCAACTCATTGTTCTCTTTCCTTTATACATAATGACACAATTATCTAGGAGATGCTTGACTAATA